CTTCTTTGTTAAATACAGCACAAGGTTGCTTGATATGCCATAGAAGGTCATACGTTCCAAAGCTTCATACACTGCAACGTAAACATAGAAGCTAATCAAATATTCTAAAACATTACAGGATTACAGAAGGGATGTGCAAAAGAAGTCGTTTTTAAGATTTGGGTCTACCCATTTTGTGGCTTTTTAACTTAGAGGCTAAGAAAACAATAAATGCACTTTTTTGTTATTAAATTACATAAAAAATTAAAATTTGATTTTAATTTTAATAACTAACTAAATAAATTATAACACACGTAGCATATTTAATATTAAGATTAATATTAATTTTTTTGTTATTTAATATAAATTAAAATTAAAAGATATATTAATTACAATTTTAACATACATTTTAAGAGCACATTTGGGATCGAAAGGTACAATCAATGTGATTAGATTGGATGGGATACACATCTTAAAATCCAATCACATGTTTGGCTTATTATTCATATAAAATAGCGTGGGAGATAAATATTTACTCAAGTGGACAAAAACGCCCTCACATTTTAATTAATTTTGTATTTTTATTCTTTTAAAACAATTAATTTACCCAAATTAATAAATACTTTGCTGTGATGAAGTTTTTTTTTTTTTTTTTTAAATAGGCTGCTAGGCTGCTATGGTTACTCTAAGTTAAGAATTAATGAAAAATGAAAGTAAATAATCATTAATTAACTGAAAAGAAATATATCAAGCACATTACAAAAAGGAAAATTGAAATACAACAAATTCCCTAATTAATTAAACCACCAACACTGACTTTTTCCTCTCTTTTCTCGGAAACCAAGCAGTAAAACCATCACAAGAAATTCTAGCAATTAAAAAAGGACCATAATCAGTTCAACTAAAACATGAACAAGGCAGCATCATAATTCTATAATTAAAATCAGTTAAAATTTTTCAACCTCCCAATTCACATTTATTGTATAAAACTACCACAAAATTTCAATCTCTTTCATATTTTCTTTTATTTTTCTCAGAAACCAAGCAGCCAACACGACAAAACAATTCTAACTAATCATTTTAAAGCAAAACCAGATTTCAATTACTTGCAAATAAGATTAATTAACGAATTTTCTATAATCGTATGAATTTCATTACAAAAATCAAATCACAATTAAATCTAAGAAAATCAAATCTCAATTTACTTCAAAGGAACCTGATTTGCAAGCATAAGATCTGCAAGAGAATCAACAATTGATGAGACTAAAGATTTTGGAGAATAATTCAACACCGTCTACAACCATGCCAATAAAAGTGGAGTACGATTTCTTACTACTGATTTTGCTTGAATCTTTAGGCTAGATGGAAATCGAGGAAGGGGAGGAGAAAGAGAGGAGGAAGGAAGAGGAAGTAGTACAAGGAAGGAGGAGATGGTTTTGATTGTTGACGGAGGAGATGGTTTGCAATGAAGCCGGCATGTCTAAGAAGGGCTGGAGAGAAAAAGACAATCAGGAAGAGGAGAGGGGTAAAAATTTAAAAAGAATTTAATCCTAACATAGGCCATGGGTAATATGGGATAAATTTTATTTAAAAACGAAATGATAGAACTTACTATGGGATAAATATCATCCCATTTAGACCACCAAACATGAGACACAATAGGATAGGACAAAAAATGTGTCCTATCCCACTGTATGTCCAGAGCTCTAAATGAGCCCTATAGTAGATGTTAGAAAAATCTTGATTTAAATTCTAATTAATTATAATCAATTGTAGTAATTAATGTTGTTATATACATTTTAATTTAAACTTAAAAAATTAAAATGCAATTGATTTTTTCCATTAATTTAAAAATAAATTGAAAATTTATGAAATTTTTACTCCTCTAATCCAAGTACTTGACTAATCCAACCCAATTGACCTAAATTACCCAACTCAACCCAACCTATTTATCAGTCATTCAGTCTACAAACCGGTGGACTTAAAATTAAAAGAGAAAAGATGGAGCATTTAGTGGTGAAAAGGAAAACCACAAAGAAACAGGAGTTGGCAGTTGAGCCAAAGTAAAGCTAATATAAATGCTTTGGTACATCTAATCTCATACGTACATGCAAATGGTTATGTTGTTATGTATTCCTTAAAAGAGGGGCGAACTTAACTTATTAAATTTGTGTACATTGAAGTAAGATTGAAGAGATTCGAATTTTTATTTTTGATGTAGTTAAAATGATTTTTTAAACATTTAAATTTATTTCAATGAGTGGAGACAAGAAAAGTTGATCCAAAAGGTTCTTGAAAAATGAGTCTCATGAGTAATGGGATGACCACAAAGCAAGATATCAAGGGAAAGGAGAGAGATACCAGCAACAAAGGAGCAAGCAGTCCATCCTCCACGTTTAGATTTCCTAAATGGTTTTCCCTTCAGGTCCACCGTGCCATCCTGTGTATAATCATCAACCCCATTTTCCACAGCCATTACTTTTTCTGTTTTTTCCCCTTCTTTCTCCGTTAGGAACAGAAGGAAACTGTTTTCCTTGGAGAAAGAAACGGAACTTGGTTGTTGTTAACATTAGTTCTTCGATGGACCTTTTTATAGGCCCTTAATTCATAATTAATCAGCCAATAGGATTCAAGAATCCAAGAAAATTAATGCATATAACGATTCTAACTTTGAAAGTTTATTAAAAAATTTAATTCTTTTTTAATTAAGTATAAAGAATCTCGCACTTTGGTTTTTAGATTCAGTGGCGTCAGGCCAAACATAAATGCATTCCCTCGTTCTCAGGACAACTATTCAAATCTAATCCCTTCCAAATTTTAAAAATAAAAATAAAGGATCTCAACATTTTAACTTTTATTTATTTATTTAATTTAAGGACTCAAACTCACTAATTTTACTACACAAAATTTCATTAAATGAAATGGTGACGTAAACTCTTTAATTCTATTAAAGTGGCCCAAATTCGGTCTTGGTTTGTCAAAGTATTAGTTTATCATCCATGACATGGACAAGATCAAGATTTTATTAATTTTTTACTAAGTTCATTGTGGGTCGACACCAAGAATAATTGTTCCCATCTTAAAACATTTTTTTTTCCATATTATTAATAACATAATAGGTTTATTTGACGAGATAAGGCCCATTGTGGGTCCCCGTAACGAAATTAAGAAGCCTACAATAACATTCAATCCAACAAAAAAAAATAGTAAAATTAGCCTTGTGTAGTAAAATTTGGGAGTTTCAATCCTTAAATAAGAAAATTAGAATTAACAACTTGTTAGTTCGAGTGAAAGGAGTTCAGTTCTCTTTAAATAAACTCTCGAATTTAAGTCTTATAAATGAAGAAATAAGCGTTGAAAGAGTTTCTCTCTTAATAGGGTCTAACGTGACTCGATTTCAAATTAATTGGAACTCAAAGTGATTACCAGATACCGAAATGTTAGTACTAAAAAAAATTTAGAAATATTTTTTTAACAACCCAAAGAAAATTAAAAAATTTAAATCCTTGATTTGGATAGATATGGCAATTTCCTCCAATCTTTGTGGAGATCATTGTCCCAAGAAATATTCTTCCTCATGGGGGTGGGGACAAGGAGTATTTTCCCCTGAGAAATTTTGCAAGGAATTTCCCTACCCCATGAGTCCACACATGGATCTCTTTTTCTTGTGAAATATTAAAAAATATATATTTTAAATTCAATACAATTTAAATATTTAACTCGTAATCATAAGCATACTCATTACTCAATTTTAATTTTGATTTAATACTCAAATCCAATTATTTTACACCAAACCAAATCTAATATATATTTTTTAAAACTTTAACCAAACTATTTAAAATATTTTGTTTTGAAATAATAAAATAAAAATAGTTAAATTAATGTTATAATATAGATTGGCAAGGGATGGGGACAAAGACAAGGATGAAGGCAAATTCTACCTCGTCAAAAATTCCTATAGGGATACCTGTCCCTGCAATTCTCCAGACTAGTTGCTGTCCCTAGATTTGGAACAAAGAAGTTTAGATCCTTGATTAGTGAACTTTTAAAAGTTAGACCCCTCTTTCCCCAGTATTTCTCAAGAATCCCACAACCAACTGAAACAAATTATGGCATTCATTATGGCTAAAATATCTTCTTTCTTTCTCTCTTTTTATCTCAAAATTTCTTGTCTTTTCATTTCAAATTAATCTACTAAATCATATTCCCTCTCTCTTTCCACTTTTAAATATAAAGTAATATGTTGGAATTTTATAGATATTAATATGGATTTTTTTCGATATTATTGCTATTTGAATAAGTTTTACAAGATTTTACTTGATTTTATATATTTTTTATTTTTTATTTTTTGTAGAAAAAGACTTAATTGGAATAAGTCAGAACTTTTAGGACCAAATCAAAGAAATCAGAATTTTGAGGGACGAAATGTCAAATTAATGAAAGATGAAGGGATCAAAACAGTTTTATCAATAAAGAAATGAAATTGCTTGATGGCCCTAAAAGCCAAGACATTTTGGGCAATTTTCAACAATTCCGCATCGAACTTTTATTATTTTCGACAAGCCCTTAGAAGAGCTCTTAGAAGAGTTCTTTGGGACATTTTGGGCACCTTAATTGATAAAGTTAGAAGCGATAAAAATGGAACAATATAAAGGATTAAGTAAATTAATATCTTTAAATCGAATTTAAAAAAAAATTATATTCATTGTTTTGTCATATATTTTTAATTTATAATTATAATTTTATCTTCTATTATTTTTATTATTAACTAATATAGTTATCTAAAATTACAATGTAAGTTTAGATTTTTATGATTTTTACAGTTTTGGATTGCTTCAATGTACCCT